AAAAAAAAAAAAAAAAAAAAAAAGGCAAACATCAGTAGAATGTTACCTATGAGATGCAAAATTCTGACTGACATATTTTTTTCTGGGCTCTAAAACATCTATAGTGAAATCTGTCATATGCTCAAACCCAGGCAATTCCCATCTTCCTTGCCCTCCCCACCTTCTCAATTTGCCATGGAACACCCAGTGACTAGTTCTACACTAAGCACTCATCTGTTTTCTCCATCATCTCGATGGCCAACAAAAGATATAGTTTTGTTTGAAACCTCAAGCAAAAGGATTAAAAGATACATAAAATCATCTACTCTCATCTTCAAGCCAATAATGATGGACAGGAAGAGCAGAGACCTAATACATTCCTCCTCAAAACACATACACATGAATACACTTTGTTCTTCCTCAAAATACCAAAAGGATAACAAACAGCAAATCATGCCCACAAACCAAAACACAGTTGTTTCATCTAATTTTAGAAAAAAATAACAAGGAACTGGAGAAAAGTTCTCTCTGGAATAACTCAATCCTCAAATCAAGGAAATTCAAAGAGCACAACATGGAAAAACCAACAGCCTCAATTCTCCCCTTTGGGATACTAATTCTATCAGCCCAAATCAAAATAAACACTATGTTTTTAGAAGATCCCAAAAAAGTCTGAAATTTCTCTTTTTCAAAAAAGACAAAAAAAAAAGCCCACTCACAGAGAAGATACCTAAATGTACCATTTCAAGCACAGGTACTCTATGATTTACTCCAAACCTGTTTTATTTCTTTGTACCATATGCTTTTAAGACAAGCTTATAAACATATTTGTTTCTAAAAAAAAAAAAAAAAAAGACCCAATTATATAATTACACCCGGAAGTATCCTTTATTTAAAGTCTCATAGCCAGGTGTTTCTTATTTGATTAATTTGCTCAGTCCTAGACTATACGGTTAGTTGTTCCTTTTCTGGAGGCTGTGAACAAGACCCAGTCTAACTGTACTTGAAACAAGTAGTCTCAAGTAATGTGCAGATGTCTCACAAGATTTGTTTAATCTGAGTAAAATCTTGTACTTCTTTTCCCTGAAACCTTCAAAAGTAGAAAGAAAATATAAATATAATCTAATTGTTTTTGGTGGGCAGTACTGCTCATATACTAGGGACCTTCATACCATCTCTTTAAGAAGAGAAACCCGTTTTAGTAATCCTCATGAATTTGTCCAAAATAAAAGACATGGATTTAAACTTGTACCCAGAATTCAGGTTAACTAGGTAAAACTAGCATTAACAAAAGACAGTTGAGTAACCCCAAACTGCAACAGATGTATACAGAAATTTAAAGTGTCTTTAAAAGGACTTGGGGAGGAAGGACAATTATTTCACAACAGCCTTACTTCTTTGAACTGTTACTACATTATGCATGTGTTCTGGTCTTTTTGCTATCAAGAGTTCAGGTGAACAGGAGGTAAAAGTTCCATAAGGCAAAGCCCTCTTCTTGACAAAAAAAAAATTTTTTTTTTAATTTCTTTTAACTTAGTCATTAAAAGATTTTTTTCAGGGGCATGTGGGTGGCTCAGTCAGTTAACCATCTGACTCTTGATTTTAGCTCAGGTCATGATCTCATGAGTTCATGAGTCCATGAGCCCTGCGCTGACAGAGACCGCTTGGGATTCTCTCTCTCCCTCTCTTTCTACCCCTCCGCCACTCATGCATACTTTCCCAAAATAAATAAAAATTTTTTAAAGTAATTTTCTATGAAAAACATTTACTCTACCAAACCAAGACCACCTAATTTCAGAAACCTCATTAAAGCACAACAATATATTAATAAAAGGATTTTATGCCAATGGACCTAGGTTATGTTTCTCATTGGGTTATATGGATCATCAAAAGTTCCTAAGGGGAGCCTGGCTGGCTCAGTCGATACAGCATGCGACTCTTGATCTCTGGATAGTGAGTTCAAGCCTTATGGTGGGCATAGATATTACTTTAAAATAAAAATAAACCCTCCTAAAATAACTGTCCAATTAAATGAGAAAGTGAATGAACTATTTTCTAAGCATGTATAAGACAGGTAGTCTCAAGTATTTTTGAGATGTATCACAACTCTCAAAGTTATTTAAATTGTACCAAGGAAATGCTACAAATTCCCAAAGGTTCTAATCAATGCCTTATTTATTCTCCACTTGCTGCAACAAACCCACAATCCCTCCTTTGCTCTGTTCCAGCCCTGGGAGGATGAGCCTACAGAGATCACCACCTAGGCTCCCCAGCTGGGTTCAAGCAATGCAAGCCAATGAACAAGACCCAAAAGAGGGAGGAGAGGTCAGGAACTTCCCCTCCCTCCCTCCCTGCCAGTCAGGCCTGCCTTAAAAGCCACAGTTCCCTGGGGCCCTCCTCCACAATTCCTGCTCTCAACTCTCAGCTCTGGTAATCTCTGGAGAATTAAGGGCTTCTCACCATTGGTATCCCCTGAGTGCTTCTTTCAAGCACCCCCACCCCACCCCACCAACCCCCCTCCACTTCTTGTTTGTTCTCTAACCTCGGTAATCTGTTCTTTTGTACCATCAAGGATAAAATCTCTTTCCTGCTAGGAGCTTGCCTGATGCAGTTAACAATACCAAGTCTGGTTAGTCCAAAATAGCACATTATCTAAAGAAATCCAATTTTAAAAGTTTAACAAGGTCTTAAGATATAACAAGGTCTTAATACAAATAAGTACTACTTATTTGTAATATTGTTATTTCTATAATTGTTTAAAAATTAAATATAATCAGCTCACTTCCAAATGAAACTGGGTAAAAGCTGAAAAACTCATTGCAATTAAATTTAGGTGTGAAATTCAACACTGCACTGTCCTCCCAAGATAAATGCCCATAGGCCGCAAATAAGCTTAACAGGGAAAAAAAAAAATCGATGAAGGGATTCTGGTAACTGATATTTCACTTCCTTATACCATACACTGTCTGGTTAATCCAAACAATTTTTTTGTTGTTATTGTTAAAGCCCTCCCTAAGCACAAGATGAAGAAAAGTTTTAAACCAGTGGTTCTCAAATTTTGGTGTACAAGTAAATTCAACGAAGAAATATGTCAAAATGCTAAGCCCAGGGTCCACCCACACCTTCCTGACAAGTGTTTCTACCAGTTCCCAGGTAATTCTGATGCACACCTAAATTTCAGAACTTCTTAAAACTGGCCAACTTCAAGATTCCACCCAAATCTCCAATACATTTTTTTTCTCTTTGAATATTTCACATTAAATATTGTCAAACAGGGGCGCCTGGGTGGTTCAGTCAGTTAAGCATCTGACTTGGGCTCAGGTGATGATCTTGCAGTTCATGGGTTCGAGCCCCGCGTTGGGCTCTGTGCTGACAGCCTGGAGCCTGGAGCCTGCTTCAGATGCTGTGTCTCCGTCTCTCTCTACCCCACCCCTGCTCACTCTCTGTCTCTCAAAAATGAATAAACGTTAAAAAAAAAAAATTGCCAAACAAAAAAATTTTTAAAGCACAGTCACAATAATAATGCACACTAATTATATACAACTGTGAGATATGTTTCACATGTATTATTATCTAATTTGGTTCTCACAAGAACCACACCAGGTAGGTAATATTGCCCCCATTTTACAGATAAGAAAACTGAAACCCAGAGAAACTAAGTAATCTGGCCAAAGCAATGACCGGTAAAACCAGGATCACCTCTGGTCTGCCAGTCCCTCTTACCTATACACTGGACAAGCTAGTACTTGTACCTAAATGCAACTCTGGAGCCTCAGGACTGTCACAAAAAGGATTAAGCCTAAAGGCCAAGCAGTTAGACAAGCAATAATCCTCCCTGTCCACTCCCTCCCCACAACAAGCTCTCCTGACTCCCCATCCCTCCTCACTCACCGAGGCCTTCCACTTACATGGTATGCTATCACAAATCTGTGGTAGAACATCACAAATCTGTGTATATATCAGCACTCTTTCTACTCTTACCTACTGCATGCTAAGTATCTCCAAACTCCATTTCCACCAAGTACTGACTGTGAGCCTGAGTAAATTTAACATCTCTGTGCCTCAGTTTCCCAGTCTATAAATTATGGGTCATAATACCAAGCGCACTAAAGTAACATAGTGATTAGCTGAGACAATGTACATAAAGTACTTGCTTGACATAGTATCTCTCTAACACATAGCAACAGCAACAACTCAATAAACAATAGCTGCTAGTCCAACATATCAATCGTAGGTCCCATTTATTTTCTCCCAGCTTTGTTTCCTGAGACTGAGATAAAAAATGGAACATATGCTTACTTATCAGGAGTAGACGGGTAACAGTGTTATAACTCAGTGTTACAATGCCAGGCATAAAATATTTCAGAGTAAATGAGTCTTTGAGTAGCCATCAGATTGTACTACTTGACAACTATTTCCCAACTTTAGGGTCAGGCCCGTTGATTACACACTAGTATGAAGAGTCTATAATTAACTTAATTCAAAACAACGATAAAATGTCACTCAGCACAGGGACTTGGTGTTAATTTATCACTGTATCACCAACACTTAGAACAGTGCCTGGCTCATTGCAGACACTCAAATATCTGTTAAGTGAACGAAGGCATAAAGGTACCAATGCAGACACACCTTAGCTCATTAGTGAATCTTTACAAAAAACAAGCATAATTATCAAACCAGTATCAATGTGGCAAGTAATAAAAGTTATTTTCAAAATTCCCCCAGAATATTTTTCTCCTTTTTTTTTTAAGATGTGATACAAACACACACAAAAATCCAAGCAGGTAATGAAATAAACATATTTTTGTAAGTGTTCCATCCTGGGTTCTGTGTCCTAGAATTAGTAGACAGTTCAAGTTTAGGTTGCTTCAACACTTCTGGATGCTACAAGGTCTCCATCTTATAACCATGTTTGTCTAGTTCAGGTTGTAACTGATTGGAGAAGTCATCCTCTACACTGTCATCATCCCAATTATCCTCCGAGACATGTGCATCTGGATCTTCGTCTTCACCTAAACCAGCCCACTCTTCCGCAGGGAGCTCCTTGAACTCCTCATCCTCCTCCAAGAGACCCAAGCCTACAAGCTGCTTTTTCTCTGACACTGTGACCCTCCCCACGAAAAATCTCTCAGGCCCGGAAGAAAGTTGGAACTCTCACACTTCCTCACCAAAGCCACCCAAGCTGCTGCTGCATCTGAAGCCGGCCTTACCATAGAACTCTCCTTCCTTTCTTAAAACAGATGTGTGTCCTTTAAAAACTCTCCAACTAGAAAAGTTAATTACTAACCTCAGCTCCATGTGCTTGCTTCGGCAGCACATATACTAACCTCAGCTCCATTAATCTACTAAAAATGTTAAAGTAGTTCCATAATAATGCATCATGTTCATCTCCTGCTTTATATGAAGAAAAAAAAAAACAAATCTAGTAACCATTTAACAATTATCACTTTAGCGATGCTGACTTCTCAGAATTTCTGGAACCATTCAAACTGAAGCCACAAAATGAAGTCACCGCTAAGAGGTTGACACCAACTAACACCTAAGAGATAAGAGAACTGTGATCTACTATGGGAATACACAGACAGAAGTTCCATTCTCAGCTATTCTTCTAGGCAGCCACCTATGTATCCTTCAACAAGTGCTTAATTTTTTTGTCCCCACTTTCTCATCTGCAGAGTAGGAGTAAGTTTATCATATCTACTTCAACAAGTAGTTTTAAGGACCAAATGTACACAAAATGATTTCCAAAACAATAAAGTGCCATACAAATGTAAGTTGTTAAATTTGATATAAACTTCAACAGATTTTAAATGGATGTTTCTATTTATCTTTCTTTTTATGCCTCTGCCACTCTTTGTATTTGCTAGACCCAAAGATCTGCCAGTACGCAGAAGAACCAGTTTCTGCCTAGCCAGGTTTCAAATATACTAGGCCCTCAGTAAATATTTGTTGAAAAAGATGTTCATCCAGGGGTGCCTGGGTGGCTCAGTTGGTTAGACATCTGACTTCGGCTTAGGTCATGAACTCACGGGTTTGTAAGTTCAGGCCCCGCATTGGGCTCTGTGCTGACAGTTCAGAGCCCGGAGCCTGCTTTGGATTCTGTGTCTCCCTCTCTCTGTGTTCCTCCCCCACTCACACTCCATCTCTCTCTCTCAAAAATAAATAAAGATTAAAAAAAAAAAAGATATTCATTCACATATAAGAGAAATTTTAAAATTCTGCTATATGCAATACCATACCTTGTAAAGGTTAAGTAGCAGGTTACTTTCAAATAAAATAACAAGTGACGTAACTTATATAAAAGATGCCTGTGGTTTTCTCAAAAGCACCGCCTTCCTTTGTGCACATTACTCAGCCTAGATATAAATATTCACCTATGTGAATATCACCCAAAGAATGTACTTCAATATTGTGGTTTCACTGGAGTCATGCTTTCTGCATTGAAAAGGACTTTCCTTCTCTTTAACACTAGCAAGATTTCTGAAGATGCCAGATTTTTTCTTCCAGTTTTACATTCTATGCTTCAGCATTTACAGGGAGAACTTTTGGTGGACTAGTGGTCACTTCTCAAACTACCAGGTCATTCTTACACTAAATAAGAAAAAAAGTTTAGGGGCGCCTGGGTGGCTCAGTTGGTTGAGCATCCGACTTTGACTCAGGTCATCATCTTGCGGTTCGGGAGTTTGAGCCCCGCATCGGGCTCTGTGCTCACAGCTCAGAGCCTGGAGCCTGCTTCAGATTCTGTGTCCCCCTCTCTCTCCGCCCTACCCCTGCTTGTGCTCTGTCTCTCTCTGTCTTTCAAAAATGAATGAAACTTTTTTTTTAAGTTTATTTTTGAAAACCAAACATGCAAAAATATTCCAACACTTATATTTTAATATTATTAATAATGAATAGTCCACTAAATTTGTCAAATAAAAGCATAACTGTTTTAAATGGTAAACTTCCTGGGTCCTCTGAATATTATATAATGCCTCAAAAATCGAATTTAAGCTTATTTAATGTTAGTTCTTGATTATCTACACACACACACACACACACACACACACACACACGCACACACGGAGATGTGTTACAGATCATCCATTAATAATTTATATTAAGCCCTTGGATGATGGTTTTGTATTTACTGTTGAATATCAGTATCCTTGACATGCAAAATTCCTAATAGTTCAAACCAAATAATGAAATATCTGTAAATACAGTCACTCAACTCAGCTGTCCTACCATTTTTCTTCTTTCTCATTTACCCAAATACAACTACATTCTTCTGTTGAAAGGACTCCTACTTTGCTACAAAAGATGGACTTTGCGTGCTCATTTTTGTCCTTTATATCTGTTATAGTTTAAAGGACATTCCTGAAATAAACACAGGCCATAAAAAAATCGTCCTAATAGTACAGGTGACAATTTAATAATAATTTGAAAACAAGCCCCCAACACCAGGATTACACAGTTAATATCTGAAAGATAGCTACTGTATTTATGGGCAATGATCTTTCTCATTTGAAGAAAATATAAAGTTTTATCCTAAACAGGAACACTATACTATTCATTTTATAGACAATGAAAACCAGTGTTATTAATTCTAATTCCTATGAACCCATCAAAATAAAAAGTGCACAGTAGGTATAATATTCTAGAATTTACATCAGAAATGATAAAGTGGGGTGCATGGGTGGCTCCACTGGTTGAGTGACTCTTGATTTCGGCTCAGGTCATAATCCCACGATCATGGGATCGAGCTGCATGTCAGGCTCCACACTGGGCCTGTTTAAGATTCTCTCTCTCTCTCCCTCTGCCCCTCTTCTCCCACTCACTCACATACTCTCTCTTTAAAAAAAAAAAAAAAAAAGGAAATGATAAAGCAACACATTACTGTTCAAAGTTGTCAACTTAAAAATGACAAAACAGAATTCAACATTAGTTCCAGAACCACATTCATGACCTATCTCATTGGCACTCCTGTGTGCTTTCTTCAAGTTACATTCTTTAACACAATACCAGTTCTGCAGGTTTATCTGAATGGTCTACGAAATGAACTGAGATCAAGGCAACCAGGTCTGATGGAAAGGACAGGGGCTTCATGGTCAGAAGACTTAGGTGTGAATGAAGACTTTGTTCCTCTGAAGCTGTAAGACCTTGCACAAATATTTAATCCTCTAAGCTTAAATTTCCTCATGTATAAGAGGACAAGACCACCAACCTTGAAAATTATTTTGTAAATCAAATCCCTCGGTTTGTGTTCTGATTATGGCAGATGCTTAATAAATGGGTGACTATCTTATACAACTAAACGGCCAGTTCACAAATTATTATAAAGTGCCTCATTAAGGGGATCACAAACTGTATGAGATTTATTAAAGCTGTAATATCTTTTTCAGATGAAAATGTTTTAATATACAGAAATGAAATATTCAGAGGTTAGAAATCTTTTTAAAACTGACATTTTACATACCAAAGTAAAGCTTCAATGATCAACGGTGAAAATTGGTTAATTTTTTTTTTATGTTTGTGGTACTTAGACTTATTCAAACCTCACATGCTCAAAAATCTTAAAACTCTATGAAAAAGGAACAGTACTTTAGAATCCAGAGACAGCCCAGTTATCTAAACAATGGGCTACATGATACACCACAGTCTCCAGGCAAAGTCACAACAGGATGAGAAAAGAGCCTTCAGCCACTCTCAGATTTCCTGCCCACTGTTATTTTAAAACTCGATCATATAAACATAAACAGAGGGAAAAAAATCCACTTCAAATGAGCCCCATGGGTTATGATTTGTGATCTGTTTTTAATACCCTGCATTAATTTACATTAAATACTGCTATAGTTCATTACATTTTTCTTGCTCACATTTCTGGGCACTAATGAATAATATATGTATATTATAGTTTTATACAGTATATATTTAGAGTTTTTAATCATGATCATCTTTTCTTAAAGTCATTCATCATTTCTGTTACTCCCTTTTTAAAACTTAGTTTTGGAAAACAAAAATGTAACTCAAACTGGGAGAACAATAAATAGTATGTCACACAGAACATACAAACACAATGGGCAAATCTGCTTAAGACCAAAATGACTTCTGTTTACCACTGTGCATCTAATTCTGCACAACTTAAAATACTCCAAATGAGCTGGATATTTAAAAGTCAATGAGTTATTTTGAACGGTTGCATTGTTTCAAGCTCTGGCTACAGCCCAATTTGTAACGTTTCTAAAATTAATGATAAAAAACACCAATGTAATTTTTTCACTAAACAATTTCCAATTGTAAAACCACAGCCCAAGATACCCATGAAGTTTAGTTAATTTGTACAGATATGCCGTTTTGCTGCCAACCTTTGTACCGTGACCATTACCAGCCCAAGTTCAAGATTCACATTTGACGGTGTGAACAGTGTCAACTGAATCTTAAGAATTTTTAAAACTCTCAAACCCTGACTATATTTAGATACATTGGATCTACACCACCAGAGCGTAACACCAAATGAAATTTTTATTTAGCATGTACAGCAATCTGTGAAGTTGAAATAGTGTTCCTAGTTGTTCACTAATATCTGTAGATTAGGATACAAGCATTCCTCCACCGCAACTTTATACCAGAAAAAGTGTCACTTGTTTTCTTAAATTGTATAGAAACAGTATTTCTGACACGGGTGTTCTAGTAACAACCCTACCGAATTATTTCCTACTTAAAATCCCAGATTTTGAGCATTTTAATGGTTTTAAGGGGCTTTTGAACATTAACAAATATAAAAAAACTCTTGCTCAGTAGTACGCATAAATTAACATACTCAAAATACTGGACAACTTAAAAACTAAAACCACAGCTTTAGACAGTCCCAACCTGGTCTCCTACCTGGTTAAAGTATTAATTTAATATTGGCTGGCACCTGATCCTCGTATCTCGGAACAAACGGCTCCATTCCTACACTGGATTTTAAGCTTGTTGACTTAAAAGAAAATTATCACGGAGTGTCCAAGTCAGAATGGGACACCTGAGTGCCCTGCTTCTACCTGGGAGCTAGAGAAGATACACAAAGGTATCTTGGTGACGATAAACCCATGAAAGGAGACTCTCATTGTCCTGTGGAAATGAGAACCAGCCCTGGCACTACTGTGAGTCGCCGCCGCCGCCGCCGCCCGGGCCCACCCATCACCTGCTTCACCCACAAGCGTCCTCGGGAGGTGAAACCAGCCGTCGTTCCCCGGGCTGCCCGAGGAGGCCCCGAAGCAGGGCCCGCCAGGGGAAGCGAGGCCCTGACGCTGACGCCCCGAAGCAGGGGCTCA